TTTTGGGAGTTGAAATTGTTTGAATTGTAGTTTATTTATTTCATATTTAAATTTTTATTTCGCATTGATAGGCTTACCTAGTCTTAGAGACTAGGTGCCATCACGACATCCTACGGAGGGAATTTGGGGTCGTGATAATTGGTAAATTATATTATTAGAGGAGCGGGTTGCACACCGCAACAGAATTGATTGAAAAAATATATTGAGGATCGAGTTACACGCCGCAACATGATTAAATGAAAATGAATATATTGTGGGATCGGGTTGCACACCGCAACAGAAACTGATTAAAATAATAATTGGTTATGACTGCCGAGTTGGCTTCAACTGTTGAATTGAGTTACCTGTTTTATTTCTATTATTGTTGTTATTATTATTATTGCGTACATGTTAATGTAAGTGACATGCCTTAGCCTCGTCACTACTTCGTCGAGGTTAGGCTCGGTACTTACTGGGTACGTGGGGTTGGTTGTACTCATACTACACTTTGCACTTCTTGTGCAGATACCAGAGTTGGTTATAACGGCGTACAATAGATTTGCTCGGATTCAGCTATTCGCAAAAGATTTGAGGTATAGCTGCATGGCGTTCGCAGTTCTGAAGTTCCTTCCACTTTATCGTAGCTATGTATTTCTTCCAGACAGCTTCATTTTCATTCAGATCGTTATTTGTATTATTCTAGTAGCTCGTGCACTTGTGACACCAGTTCTGGGATGGTATTTAGACATCGCTATTAATATGGATTATTCACTTTATTTTCGCATTTGTTTCTTTGTTATTAATTAATTTAAAATTATTTTAAAATGGCTAATATTATTCTAACGTTGGCTTGTCTAGCAAGTGAAATGTTAGACACCATCACGGTCCCGAAGGTGGGAATTTCGGGTCGTGACATATATATATATATATATATATATATATATAAAAAAAAAAACTCAAAGACATTGTTTAATAATACTTGTGCTTTTTTAATAATTATTTACTTATTGATATAGGGAATACGCGCAAAGCGCGTACCATAAGACTAGTAAATTAAATAGAAGAAAATAATTAAATAAAAATATTATGTGTTTTATTTATTGATCTATGATGTTAATTTTTACTGATCTCCTGTAAAACATAATCTTTTATGACTAATTACAATTGTATAAAAAAACTAATCGCACAAATATCTCATATGCGTCATTTATCAATCTTTTATATTACTACATTTTACCAATCTCGTGTGAAAAGGACCGTAAAATAAAAAGAACATATATAATGGAATATAAAATCAATCTCTTGTTCTCTTATTGTTAATGTCATTATTACTCCGTTAATAATGTTCACATTCCCTTTATTTTAGGGTATGGCTGTCCAACGGGACGGGTCAGCACGGCCCATCCCGGTTTTATCTCGGTCCCGATCTCGTCCCGACCCCTAAATATTAAACGGGACTGGGCCTATATTAAATGGGACATGGGACATGGGATGGGCTGCCCATTTTGTTCTGGTAGGCTAGCCCGTTAAGGTTTTGTCCCGTCCCGTCAGCCCGCGTGAATTGTTTTTTATTTTTTTCAAAAAAGAGTCGTTGGCCAACGACATTTATTTCAAAATTAGCCGTTGGCAACGGCTATAAACGGCCATTTTTGGCCCCTATCGCCCCATTCCCCCAAAACACCCCTACCTCGCCCTCCCCCAAAAATAAACTTTTAATTTAATTCCTAAGTTTATTAAATTATACTTTGGCCCTATTTTTAACTATAGATATCCCATCCTTATTCATTTTTTCCCACAAAAATCAATCATTCTCTCTCAAATCTCTTGCATTCTATATATATTCTTCTCTCAATTTTCTCATAATCAACTACGTTTCAAGTAGTTGTGCAAATTTTTGGAGCAACTTTCAAGTTTCAAATTAATTCGTTAAGTATTTGGAGCAATGTTTTGGGCAATATTTTCAAGTTTAATATTTAATCACGGTGCACTCGTTCCATCTCCTAATTTTAATATTTAATTTTTGCGTATCATTTTAGTGCTTAATTTTTGTGTTTACTTTACATGTTCTATTTTCCTGTTTCATTTGTGTATTTAATTTTTATGTTAACTTTTTTAATTTATTTTTGTATTTAAATTATAGTTCCTAAAAGTGTATTTGGTATAACCAACCCATTTAAAAAAAGTAGAAAATGTGCTAGTTGTAGAAATCCTAATCCTAATCCTTCTCCTAGAATTAGAAAACATATAGATGAATGGACTCATGTTGATGAAACTTCATTTTCCAAACCCTACGCATTTTATAATATTAATTCGAGAGAACAACTAGATCATGAAACTTTACAAAGACAATTTGGCAATGATATTTTTAATGAGGAAGAAGAATTAGATAAAATACCCACTATTCCAGCAACACAAGTTCAAACTCAAAGTCAAACTCGGTCTGGAGCTTTACCCCATGTACCTTATGTCAGAAAGAAGAAATTTTGATTTTGAAAAATTAACCACTAGTGAAGAAGAAAAATACATTGAGATACTTTGCACTGGGAGCGATGACGGTATGGAACTCATGGAACATCAAGCAACATTGCCAATTCCAGAACAATGTCTCACAAAAATTATATATCAGTTATAACGAAGCTATATGGGAGCTTACAAATATTAGTATGATAATTTGTAATTAGCTACTAAGAGGCCTACTTCAAACAGTGTCCTTCCTAGAAGGTAGAAGGCGGATGCATAGATTATGTGCTATTCAAAAGGCATGTATTTGTATGTGTAATTTGAAACTTCTATTAATAATATAAAAGGCTTTAGCCTTGATTTTTTTAATTTATGAATTGTCTTACTTAGTTACTTTATAGCTTGAGATTATGTTAAATAAACTAAAAGTCTATTATAATTACTAAAATATTTCGTTACAAGTCTTTTGTTTTAATATTTTATAATTCTTTTCTTAGTTTCTTTATAATTTATTAAGTTTTAAGTTTATTAAAAAGTCAAAAAACTAGCCGTTGCAAATTTTAAAAATTTAGTCATTGGCAACTTTAGAAAAATAACCGTTGCTATCTATAAAAAATAGCCGTTGCCAAATTTATTGCTTAAATATTTAAATAACCTTTTTTAAAAAGGACTACTTAGGCCCCACGTCACGTCGCGTCCCATCGAGTTTTTTAGTGGGATGGGATGGGCCTACCGGATCATTCCGTTTATCCCGTCCCATTTATGGTCCGCTCCGTCCTGTTTCGTCCCGATAATTTTGTCCAGTCCACACCGTCCCGTTGGACAGCATTAGTTTAGGGCTATTATTTAGCTTAGGACCAAAAATTTCCCCTTTTTACAAACATGAAGGATAGTTTATGTTCAGTGTCATACATTAATGACCAAAATACATTTTGCCCAATACATTAATTAGGGACTATTTTTTTTTAATTTTAATTTAATTTATGAATTCAATCAACTGGTTGCCGAAGCAGATCCCTCTCGGGAGTCAAATAATTTTTTGTTTCTTTACAAATTTATTTTTAATTTTATGATCAACTTCTTTTTTATACATCTTTTACGCTTAATAGACGTAAAAAAGTTATTTTCTTTTCCTGATGCCCTATTCCCTTTCGGTTATTACCCCTTCGCGACTTGTGAACGAGGATCCGACCCAACGACCCGAAGCCCACTTCTTTCCCCAAATGTTTTTCTTTTTTTCTTTTTTCAGTTTAATACTTTTCCTTCTCGTTTTCATTTTCCTGCTTCGGTAACAATAAAGATTTGAACGGTTGAATGGGAGCTCTGCAACTTGCGAACAAAGTGATTCATCCGCTTTTGTACAAAGACACGAATTGAAACTGAAGGTTCTAAAATATCTAATATTTTTTCTTTCTATTTGTATTTCAATTTTATACTGTTGCAATTTGAATCAATTGAGAAATTGGGGAAATTAGGAACTTGAGAAGCTTCAATTCTGATATTAGCCTATCGTTAAATTCATTCCAAATTAGGTTTTCAAGAATATCTCTATATGTATCTGTCTGCATGTGTGTATAAATTTTGAAATTAGAACAGTACAGCATTTAAGTAATTAGTTCTTCATCGTTTTACAGAAGCAGCTTATGGTATGGATTTTGTGTAGCGACAACTGAGATGCGTCTTATTATTTTTATCTTAGTTCTTATGTTATTTATAATGCTAAACATGTGAAAGGATCCAGCTTTATTTACTTTCATACTCTTCCAAGCTAAATGGTCATATACTCATGTTTCTTTCTTTTGTTGTCCCAATTAATTTTTGCCTTCCCGAGAGGGGGTTGAGAACTTCTTTTTTTTATGATGGTAGTGTTCGGGTCAGCTTGCGCGCACCTCTACTATTCCACCCGGTCCTCGTATCTCCCACCAGTACAGGCACCGAGTAACTCTGCCCACCAAGACTTGGGCAGATTGGAAGATGTCACCTAGTGTTTTTTGCTTCCGCTGGGATTTGAACATGTTACCTCATTTTACTCCCACTTCATTGACCACTAGACCACACCCTTAGGTGCTTGAGAACATATTGTTTTGAACTTTTTTCTGTTTTCCATGTTATCTTTTTCTTTGTTCAATATGTACTTGAATGTATTATGCATATAACTATAATGGATGACGATTGCAATCTGGGTTGACTTAAACAAGCAGAGTAGGATCTTATGTTATGGTGAGTGGTGACCGGCATTTTTATCTAGTATCTAGTGCTAGGACTAGTATGGTAGAGACACTCACAATTTATTTTACTCTAATAATATTCCTTGATTTAACATAAAAAAGATGTATCCATTTCTGATTTCCAGTGGTCATACTAAATTAAAGCACGAACTTCAGTTTTGAGAAGAAAGGACTAGTGTAGAAGTATGATTTAATTAGTTGAAACATAACGTCATTTTATAGTGCTTCTTTCTTTCCCAAATCTCATAATTCACTGATTACAAGGTTGATGAAACTTATAGAGGTGAGTATTTACTATTTAGTGAATGAAAGGAAGCTATTGAAGAAATAGCACTTGTAGGACGAGGAGGAAATCTTCGACGCAAGAAGCTGTAGTATTATGTATTGTTTTATTGTTTTGATTTAAACCCATATGCCAGCTCGGATTGTTAGGTTTGAGTTTTCTAGTAAATACTCACTGATTTACACAACTTTATGTTACCAGTTTCAGTTTTTGAATAGGCTTTGATGGGGGAGCTGGCATCTTATGAAATCAAGAGAAAGTGTTTATATCCTATTTTCGCTTGCTCAAGGAATTCTTTGATTATGTTTACCTGTTATGTTTTGCTCTTCCTCAACATAGCCTCCATGTATTTTGGCCTTGTTTGAGGCCTTTAGATAAAGTTTTATTATTTATCCAGTTGAAATAAAAATCATGAACGAATGTCATTTGGATATTGAGTTAATGGGTGCAAGTATCTAATATAATTGTTACTTGTGTCAGTATTATGAATTCATCGCACTGTCATCCTCTATCTCTATGTCAAACAGCTTCATGAGCAAAGTATGAGGTAGCTGGGAATTGACTTAGCGAATTTATGGTTTCTGAAGCACTGCAACAGACTTTCATGGCTACCAAGCGTTCCTGTACATCATCTCTACCCTGGATTTGGGTGATTGAAGCACTAGCAAGCTTCAATGAAATAGATACATCTTTACTCATCAGTATGTGTGAATTTACAATTGCTTTATTTCGTAGAAGCTGTTGTTAAATTGTGGGCATCAGAATTGTTTGACATTAATAGTTCATGCATAACAGATTTGGTTAAGAGGACTCCTGAAATTTCCGATGATCTGGGGAGAAATGCTAGGGAAATGGTTTCCTTGAGAGTTTTAGAGAGCTTATTTGTCCAGAGAATCCCGAAAGCAAATAATGTTGCTTCAGTTCCAGGTGCCAATATTGAACTTGATCCATCAAAGAGCTGTGAAGATGTCCTTCGCTGCATATTGTTGGAGGTAATGAATTCTTTCTTTTACTTATCTAGGGTGGACTATTTGATTCAGTTATTTGAAAGATCTAAGCAAGGGACCCATTTACAAGGGAAATGGTCTCCTTTAGTGTTTTAAGTACTCCTGTTTTACACATGCTTAGTTGTGTATTTGCATGTAAATATTATTAGGCTTCTGCATCAGATTTAAAAACAGCAGCGCCTGAGATGTTGAAATGGGATGTTCGGTCATTCATTATGAAAAAGAGATCTCTCCTGCCGAAGTGTCTTTTGAAACAAGTAAGCTAGTCTTAATAATGTTTTGAATTGGAGAAGTTGGAACATATTGAAAATATATCTGTCTTATTATCTGGGATTTACTTTATTTTCTGTTGATAAACAGCTTAAAGATAACATTGTAGATTCTACCAGTCCTCTTTCTGGATCCTTGAAAAAAAGAAGTCGATTGGAGTTCGGGAATCACTCCAGAGATAGTGTTCCTGTTGATGCTGTTGATTCTGATGGCTTTAAGCAGGGACATGAAGTAGGAGGCACAAATACCCAACATGTTGCACCAACTAGGAACTCGGATGCTTTTACCCAAGCTGATAAAAATACAACAACATACCCAGTATATTCCCACAGTGTGGGGTCCGGGAAGGATAATGTGTACGCAGACCTTACCCCTACCTTTTGGAGGACCCAGTCCGATAAAAATGGCAAGCAAAAAAGTCAGCTAGGAAGCGCTCTGGTGCGTGCTAAGAGGAGTATCGATGCCTCCACTGCTCATGAAGTAGAAGTCAATGAAACTGAAGCCATATCAGAGAACAGTTCTGATCCTTGTGCTAAGGCTGCCAAGAAGTTTAAGCAGTTTGTCTTTAGTCCCATTCGGAACACAGTTCCTGATTTGCTATTGTCTGGGAGAGATGCATTCCCAGCAGAATCATCTGGAGGAAGTCAACCTATTGTTCAAAACGGGAACTCGAAAGATGAAGCTCAAGTTGGGGCCTTCGAAGCAAATGGAGGCCTGAACGATGGTTGTGCTGAGCATGCTGCATCAAGAAGTGGTTTACATGGAAGTGACTCTAATCACAATGAGCTCTTGCCTCAAAGAATGAGCACAGACCAAAAGTTCCAAAATATTGGACGTAGCAGCAATGGTTGCGCTGAACTTGGAACATCCAGTGGCTCATGCCAGCTGGCGATTCAACAAGATTCTCGCACTCATGGATCCAAACATGACCTGGAGTTTAATCTTCCACAAGATTTGCAACATGGTGAGCCTTCTAAAGTAGCCAAAGAGAATATTGAGCAAAGTCATGAATTTGAGTTCTCTAGTGATACTGATGAGTATCACGATGAGAGCATTGCTCTTGCTACACAGAAGAATGATTTCTTGAGCTCGCAATGTGCTCAGGGTGAAGATTCTTTGGCAGCTGCTGATTGTAGTGAGCTTAATCTTTGTGTGAAGTGTAATGTAGGGGGGAAATTATTTGTCTGTAGTTCTGACACCTGCCCATTAATGGTTCATGAAAGTTGCTTGGGTTCTGTGCCCAACTTTGATTACAAAGGGAACTTCTACTGCCCCTTTTGTGCATATTCTCGAGCAATTTCTGAATACCTGGACGGTAAGAAGAAGGTCTCACTTGCTAGGAAACATTTGGCTGCATTTATTGGCTTGGGAGCTGGACAACAATCAAAGAAGTCACTACCTAAGTCACAAGGAACGAAACCGCATCAATCTCGAGAGGATAAGAATGAGCAATTATGCCACAATGAGAATGGGAGCAGTTCCTTGAATGAGGTTACAGAAGCAGGAAGTGCTCCAGGCGACAGGAATTCCGTTGGAGTTCAAATCATGCAGACGGGTTCACCTCAACCAGAGGCTTCTGCACCTGAACAATGCTTGGTAGCTGGTCAACAACCTGAAGGATCAGAACTTAGATGTCATAGATCTAAGCAGAATCAGTCCAGAGAGGAAGAAGAGTTGTGTCATAATGGGAATGGAAACAAGAATTCTTTGAAGAAGGCTGAAGAAGCGGGAAGTGGTCCTGTTAATAGAAATTCTACGAATGCTGAACTCATGCAGATGCATCCACCTCAACCACCTGTTTCTCATGAACCTGTGTGTCAAGGAAGTTCTTCTATAGAAGAAAATTCTGAAGAAGATGAGATTGGTTCCAGATATCGTGTACAATTTAGGAATCCAGAGAAGAAGCAGTAAGTCTGATGCACTTCCCAAAGTATGCAAATCATATGGTCACTCCACGCATTCTTTCAAATGTGTCATCCATTTTACTTATATTTTCCAGTTTCTGCATTTTTTTTGGTTCTCCTATCTCTTTTTGCGTTGAATCAAAGCATTTTGTTAATCAGTATTATCAGGCAGTTGATTGTGTTTTGGTTATAACTTCTATCTCTGATTTTTTACTGTTCATTTTTATTTGCAGTACCTTTCCCATAACACCTCAATTGAGGAGGAAGAAGGTCCAATGGACAAAGATAGAGGAGGAAACGTTAAAGGTACACGCATCTTCTTTCTGTCTAAATTTGCTAGTTCTCTCCTTGAAAAGCTGGTAAGAAGGCACGAGTTATTCTAATATAAGGGGGATTCCCCCNAATGATTTTCTCATTATATGAATATGATGCTAAGCTGAAGGGGTGAAAGTAAGAGACACTCAATAGTATCTGTGTATTGGTGGCTAAGAATAGCTCGTTTGTAATCCTTTTTGGGGTAAATTGGAACGGGTAGATGACTGTAAAACCTTGTTACGGTTCATTGAATCTTTTGTATAGATAGCTAGGGTCTTATCTGTTCTTTTGCTATCTTTTTGGATGTAATCTCAACACTTTGTTTTCGACATCAATAATGCTTCCAAAACAATATTTAACATCGTGCTCGTAGATTTCTGAAGCTGTTATTACAACCTTGTTTAGCATGTTCAACAATTTGTATGAAGCCAACAATATTGAACTGGTCTGGGTACCACTATTATATGAAATAAAATCTTCACTTAATTTCTTTGCAGTACGAATATGGACATTGACCGATTAAGCTACTCAACTAGTAGCGATCATGTGTAGTGAAATTAAAAACTGAGTCACGGTTACCATGAAGTTTGAACGCGACAATTACTAAAAGAAGTTAATTATAAGTTCAATTCAAAGAGAAAAGACAAGAAAGAATAAAGTGTAATATTTAAAAAAAAAAAAATGTTGGTAAGCTGATATAGTATTATTATGGTGATGACAAATAGCAGTCTCACAGTGTCATGAAATGCCGAGAATGCAAAGGGGAACATAAGCCCGTGTTTCTCCTTTTATTACTGTCACAGGTAAACTACTAGTACATATTACTACTATATTCTACTTCAACTAGTTCTTTTTCTGTCTACCGTTGTTGTCAAACTTGTCATCCATTTACTGGATCAGATCAATTCCTTGCCCTTTCCTTCTGCCTGAGAACAGTGGCAAAGCCAAGAAATTTTGACAAAGATTAAAAAAGGCACAAGAATCCTCCCTCCTCTCCAAACGAGCCATGAATTCTGACAAAAAGAATCAAAAAAGAAAAAACAAGAATACCACACCTAAGATTCAAACCTCAGACCTCCCTTATAAGTGGATTCCAATTTATACATGAATAAAACAAAACTATTTGTACATTATCGAAGAAAGAAATTCAATTGAACCCCTTTTGAATCGTGCAACCAAGTGCGGCTCTAGTGTTATTAGTAGTAAGGTTTGTGCCTTATGTCCCCAAATTTGGAGGCCCCATTTTGTAAAAATATTAAGTTTATGGTATTTTAAAAAAATATACTCTCTCTAAGTTAAAAGAGATCAGACTTTTGAACTTGTGGTGTAAAATGAAGCACATATATTTTGTGTGGCTATAAATGATTACATAAAGGTAAATTATTTCCAAATATGGAAAGGGGTCATTCTTTTTTGATACAGACTAAAAAGAAAATAGGTTCACATAAATTGAAACGGAGGGAGTAATACTTTTAATATAAAAGTAGAGTTTTTCATATAAAAGGAAAGAAAACATTTTAGCATAAGTAAAGTAATAATTTGATTTACCTAAAATGGGTAGATGAATATTTTTCCTAATATTTTAATTTGAGTTGATTTGACAATACCACTTTTTACTCCTTCATTAGATAATGTGTAAAAATTTTACTTCCCCAACCTTAATTTTACATATTTTCTGTCTTTCTCTTTGATATTCTTATTCACCTTCTTTCTTCAAGATTTCATTACGCACCTTCTTTCTCCAAGATTCCGTTAGTTAAGGTATTCAACAATACTTTTAAGCTTTCAATAGTTTTATACTTTTATTGCTCTATAAAGTCTAACCTAAGATCAATGACACGGTTGTTGAGACACACTAAGTAGTCATGGGAAAGATAAATGTCATTTGTGTGAAGGATATTGAGATAGCTTCTTCCTTCTCTCTCTGTGCGTGGGTTAGCCCTTGAAATTGGTTGAGGAAAAGGAAACCCCAGCGACCAAGCACTCCCGCCCCCAAAAGCGGATTCCCTTGTT